CTTCTTTCAGCCTTTACTGTGATCCTTCATTACATGCTCCCAGCTGTCTTTGCACATGAACTTTTATAGGAGTTTTATGTGCATCACTAAATGCAAATGAGCTGTGTCTGGAACGTGATTTGCACATTATGGGTGCATACATATTTCTTCATACGCATGTGAGTATGAAGAAAATCAACCTTTCCAAAACTTTTGTAAATCTGGTGTAAAATTTTTGTTTGGTTTAGCTTACACAAACATTGACACACAGCTTTACTAAAAGATTATAAAAGTGAGGCCCATTGTCTCTAAAGTCAGAGAGTAATAAAAGACAGAGTGAAGCAATTTAAACCCCTTCTCTTCTTAACTCCTCCGTTTTAGCTTCTCATCTTAAAATTTGATTAGTTTACATAGTAAATGTCACGCATTTCCTTTCTGTTCATAGGCCTTCATCAAACCATCTTTCTAATAGTCTATGTTTTGACGTGGGAATGAGAGAGCTGGGCCTGGGTCTTTTCTCAAAGATCATGAGGATTCTTTCAAAATGTGTTTTGAGTGATAGATTCAGCTGCCTGAAACATCGGAGTGTGTTTATCCATGGCTAGCATGGCAGCTTTCAGAAGACATTTACCCCATGATTTGCGATGAGCTTATGTGTGAATAATTAATGGCAATTAATCCTTAATTACAGTAATTAGGCAAGTCACAGGAAATTAAGCTGCAGCTGGAGAGACCCGGCATGTCACAGGGAGGAAGAGATGGGAGGATGCATGGATAAGCATGGCACAGTGGTAGCACTGGAGCAGCCAAGGATGGCACGGGTAGCTTGGGCATACATGCCTAGCTGAGGCTGACAGCCACAGGCATGGCTGAACACAGATGCTCAGCAGGCATGAAGAGACTTTACATGCAAAAGTCATTTACAGTAAGAAGAGATTCTCATCACGATAATTGTCAACATTCATTATTTACTTTTCCTTCTGTTTATCTGACCTGTTAATACTAGCCTTCTTCACCACTTGCTGGCCCAAATTCTCAGCTTCACTCTCATACATTACATTACATTTGCTTACCTCAATCCAAAAATGTCATGGAGTAGGGATGTGACAATAGAGACAGCTATATGATTCATCTTAATTTTTAATTCTCTTTTTTATAAAGGGCATACTTATAACATTTCAGAGCATTTGAGATATGAAGCATGTGTTCCAAATCTGTAAGTTCACTGTAGCTCATTTGAGATTTCAAGAAAAACATTTACATTCCTGAAATTCACAGATGCTTGTCAATGAGCAGCTCATTTTCTTGTGAAAATGTTGACGTGTACATTTGCCTCGCACCTCCAGGGTTGGGGGTTCGATTCCCCCCCCCCCCCCCCACCCTGTGTGTGTGGAGTTTGCATGCTCTCCCCGTGCTTCAGGGGTTTCCTCCAGGTACTCTGGTTTCCTCCCCCAGTCCAAAGACATGCATTGTAGGCTGAGTGGCATCTCTAAATTGTCCATAGTGTGTGAATGGGTGTGTGAGTGTACGTGCGATTGTACCCTGTGATGGGTTGGCACCCCATCCAGAGTGTTCCCCACTTTGTGCCCCAAGTCCCCTGGGATAGGCTCCAGGCTCCCTGCGACCTTGTGTAGGATAAGCGGTACAGAAAATGAATGTTGACGTGTTGAATGATACAAGGATCATGTTACCAGTTAAAGAAAGGGAAGAATTATGGTTTGCTTTCTCCGTGTTTTTCAAAGCTGGTTTGTGGCTATGCATGGCTATCTTTATGAATATGTACTGGTGGGTCATTCAATGTCAATTCAACCAAATTCCAAAAAAGTTGGTTACTGTAACCTGCAGAGAGCTGTGTCAGGAACGTGCTTTGCACATTATGGGTGATCAACATACACACGTGAGTATGAAGAAAATCAGCCTTTTCAAATCTTTTGTAAATATGGTTAAAAATTTTAGTTTGGTTTGGTTTAGTCATACATTGACACACACCTTTACTAAAAAGATTGATAAGTGAGGCCCATTGCCGCTAACATCAGAGAGTAATAAAAGACAGAGAAGCAATTTAAACCCCTTCTCTTCTTAACTCCTCCATTTTAGCTTCTCATCTTAAAATTTGATTAGTTTACATAGTAAATGCCACATGTTTCTGTTCTTGGGCCTTCATCAAACCATCTCTCTAATAGTCTATGTTTTGACATGTGAATGAAAGAGCTGGGCCTGAGTCTTTCCTAAAAAATCAGGAGGATTCTTTTAATGTGTGTTTCAGTGAGGAAATGAAGCAGGACACAATTATGTGAGATGGGTAGGGCAGTCCAAATAACATCAAAGTCCATAGCTATGGTCGAGCAGAACAATGCAGCACACCAAATTTTAGCTCAGATGGTTCCTAATGCACAGGTATTTGAACTTAACTCCACCCCTACTGACATCCATACCCCAAACTTTGCATATCTCTTCATAACATTGGCCTGACGATTCCTTTCAGAATTATACAACCAGTCCTCAGTTACAGCTGTTTTACTAATTCAAGCTCTGCCCTACTAGGATTGATTGGCATCTGGGGGCCTTGTTGTTTGCAAAGCTCAAAATACTTTTGATAATTAATGAGGATTAGACTCTGCTGAGTAATTTGACACCAATTTTGTGAACATAAGCCAAAAATCCTAGGACTAGTTTGCAAAAAATATATTTCACAAATTATGCAAATTTTCATAAATTTTGAGTGGGTGTGGCTAAATGGTCCAAAAGACAGATTTCAGTGTTCAGCCAAAGGATTATGAAGAAAAAAATAATCACTATTATCCTTAATTTTCTAGAGATATACTTGTGTTTTGTGTGAAAAACCATGAATAGTGCCCCCCCCCCAGTGGCCAATTTGCATACGTTGCATAGCTAACTAGTGCATCCCTAGATGAACCTAACATTCCCAAACTTTGTATATGACTTCAGAATCTTTACTTCTGTATGCCTTTCAAGTTTCATGCGAATCCATGCAAGCAGTCATGAGTTGCATCTATTTATGTAAACGAGGCTCCTCCTCTTCATAATTGAATGACCATTGAATGTCGGGCCATATCGTTTGCAAATTTCCAAAATGTTTTGGATAACTTTTATGGTTCAAACGCTTCCAGATAATTTGACACCAATTTTTGCAGATAGGGCTAAAAACCTCAGACAAATATGCATGTTATGTAAATTATCTTAAATTGGAGTGGGCAGGGCTTAATGGTCCAAAAGGCAGTTTTGTGTACTTTCAGGCACAGAATCAGCATAATCAAGAAGATTTATGGTACACCTTATATTACAAGAGATATGCTTCTTTGTGGAAAAATCATGAATATGCCCCGTCCCCATAGCCAATTTGCTTCCTATACATGTGAGCCCCAACAAGAACCTAGCTTTCGAATTTGTGACAATAGTTCAATGTTAACCCTGTCAAATTCAATATTGTTTGCAAATTTCAAAATGTTTTGGATAACATTTAAGCTTCCGAATAATATGACACCAATTTTTTTAGATTTGGTTAAAAAAAAACTAGGAGTATGGAAAAGTAGGTTTTGCATATTAAGCAAATTATCTTAAATTGCAAAATCTTGAATTGCAATTGGTGGGGCTAAATGGTTCTAAGATTTTTTTGTTTGTTTATGAGAACTCAAGGAATCAAAAGAAAAAAATAATTTTGTCTGTAGGTCTCATGGTTCATGAGACATGGACCAAAATGTAAAACCTCATGCTATAGCACCACCATAAGGCCAATTGGGCCTATCTTGGTTGCCTGAGTAGTGGGAATGAATACTACCTATTGACCAAGTTTCACATCTCTACAACTTAGAGACCTTCTGGCAACTTTTGGGGAGATTAGTCTGAACATCATTTGAGCCAAATTTGGTGAAAATTGAACAAAATTTGTGGGCTGTGAAAGCTTTTAAAAGTTTTTCAAGAAATAGTGGAAAATCCAATATGGAGGAAAGTGAGCATGGGATCTCTTGAAATTGACATGAGCCAAGAATTAATTTGGAAAAATAATTTTGTTCCTACAAATGCTTCAGAAGTTATAAGCAAAAATGTACCTTGAACTTTGACCCAATGGTGTTACTAGAGGAGCCCAAAATTGGTGAAATGACTATTGGTACTATGCTCAATCAATGTGCCAAATTTCACAACACGCTCATAGGGCTGCTGTAGATTTCCAGCATAGAGTAATAATAATAATAAGAAGAACAGGGACAAAATCAATAGGGTTCCAGCACATTTGGTACTTGACCCCTAAATATAAGCAGCAATCTGCAGGGTCCACACAGTCTTAGCAAACATCGCCCCCAGTGGCCAGTCCTTGCCAATGTACATAAAACAATAAAGAGGCCATACATGAACTTACTAATGAAGTTTTGTGACAATATCTCAATGGTAGTTGTGTGAAACGCCTGTATAAAGCTGATTGAAGTTTTTGAAGTAATCCAGTGATGATTAAAAATTCAGTTACAGATTAACACATTGATGCAGCACACCACATTTCCGCATGATCAGCCTTTCGGTGCCTGAGAAATACCTATTTCAACTTAACCATCACTCCACCACTTTTCAATGATTATGCTCCAAACTTATCACCTCACCCCATATCACCTCAGAAGCCTTTGCCATACATGCATTTCAAGGTTTGTTTAATTCTGTGCAGGCATTCATGAAGTACAGCTGTTTGACTAAAACAGCTCCACCCCACTTGGGTTGATTGGCATATGGTGGCCACATTGTTTATGAATTTCAGCATGTTTCTGACCATTTTAAAGATCACACTCTCCTGAATATTTTGACACCAAATTTGTGACAATATGACAAAAATCCTACGACTAGTTTGTAAAAGTAGGCTTCGCATATTATGCAAATGATCACAAATTTAAGTGGGCAGAGCTCAGTGGGCAGAGGTTCCAAAAGGTAATTTCGTAGAGTTTGCGCAAGCAAATGAAGGCGAAGAAGAATTTTCACTGTACATTTTCCAAGAGCTATTCTTGCTTGTGTGTGGGTCCCTGGAGGACTAGTGGTTATGCTGTCACCACTGCGGCCCAGGTTCGATTCCCGCCCAGGGAACTAAGAGTGCAACAGTGCGCTCTCAGTGCCGGTCCCAAGCCCGGATAAAATTGGGGAGGGTTGCGTCAGGAAGGGCATCCGGTGTAAAAACTGTGCCAAATCAAATATGCGGACCAATGATCTGCTGTGGCAACGCCTAACAAGAGCAGCCGAAAGAGGAACAAAATTCTTACTTGTGTTTACAAATATGAATACTGTCTCTCAGTGGCCAAATTCAGTGAGACTGCATCACAGGAGTCTGTACCCAAACCTACTATTCAAGTTTCATGATGATTGGTCAGTATTAACCCTGTTAAATGCCTGCTGAAATCTGATTGGCCATTGGTGGCCTTTTTTAAGCGATTAGGTCAACATCAAAAATCCCCTTACAGATTAGCATATAGATGCAACATACCAAATTTCAGCTTGATTGGACTCACGGTTGCTGAGAAACATTTATCTAACCATAGACCTGCCCCATTTGTATGGCCACACCCCAAACTGTGTATGTGACCTCAAAATCTTGTCCTATGTATGCCTTTCAAGTTTCTTCCAAATCCACCTTTTTCTGATCGGGCTCTCTAAGAAATTTCCCAACAATTCGAATAGGATTACAACACTTCCTAATAATAAGAATAAGAAATATCTAAAACAAAAGCAATAGGGTTCCAGCACCTTTCGGTGCTGGGATCTGTAATAAATATAGCTGCAAGCAGCAATTTGCGGGGGCTAAGCACCATGTGCAGATCGCACTACAGGCAGCTAGTTCTCACCAAGTTGCATAGAACACCAAAACAACCATAGATAAACATACTATTAAAATAAAAAATGTGACTGTAGCTTAAAGTCTAAAACAGTGAAGTGAGTATTGCAATGTGATTGGCTGTTGGCCTTCATGTTTTTATAGTACCTATTTAACAATAGATATACACTCAGTGATAAGTACAACAATGCAGTACGACGAATTGTAGCTTGATTCAACTCACGGTCTGAGAAACAGTTATTTGAATCCAGCCTTTCCGCCTATTAAAATCTGTAAGATGAACTGCGTTTTCAACAATTATATATTATATTTTATATTGATGCAAACAAATATGCTGATTGGGATTGTGAAAAGAATTTGATGCAAAGATTTACATGGCGAATAAATCTTTGTTTAATTGATTACTTAAAAAAATTTCCAGGCCACATCAGCATGTTTGTGAGTGTTTGAGGGGCTGTAATAAACTTAGTCATTTTTAAACACGTTTTTAAATTGGTTAACCTGCTCTCAAAGTTGAATGAGATTTTTCTAGGTGAAAGCAAAAGGCTCATAGCGCATATTCTGTATGAACTATTAGGTGCTAATATTTGTTATACTATTTTTTTAAGTAAAGTGTTTTCCAAATACTGAAAATATATAACTTCCAAAAAACAGATTAATGATTAACTCACACAGTGAAAAATATGTTTGTAAAGCTGCTGATTCAAGCTAGAACCTTAAAAAGTTAAGGTTTGCTAAATGACCAGCTGGATCGCCAGTCAAACTTCTTTAATAAGATGAACTGTGGTTCTGTACACAGGGAAGATAGAAACTGATGAACTTAACATAATGTGACACGTTGATATACGAATCAACTTTATTTTGCACTGTGGAAGAAGTAATAGCATGTATTTCCTCTTTTTAAGCAAGACTTTCAATTCTTTTAAATGTAGTAACATAACAGAAGTACTCTTAGTTATTGCTGTTATTTGTTATGATGATGCCGTTATTATTTATTTATTTATTTATTTTCTGTTAAGGAAACCTGTGTGTGGGAAGACATGAACAGTTAACTCATGTCTGCAGTCACTCAGGTGTTCTTAATAAAAATTGTTCATTAGCTGCAATAACAGTGTTTTAACTTTTGATACCCAAGTACGTTTCCAAGAATTTTTATACTTTAACTCAAGCAAAAATATACATAGAAAACCTCTACATTTAATCAGGTACAAGATTTTTGCGTTCTGTTAGCTACTAATTCTGAACTATGAGTGTAGCTATTTGACTCTTCAAGCTACTGTTTTGAACAATGTTAGCTTGCTAGCTAACCATTCTCATAGTTATATCAGAGAACAAACAACTCCTGAAATAATGTAATCCTTGTCTGCATCAGCTGCTGTTTACCGACACAGGACACCACTGTGCTAACAAACAACTAGCTAATCTCAGTAACATTTAATATTTGTTCACACGCATTTTAACTTACATTTATGTGTTGATATTCTCCTGACAGGACACTGCTTTGAAATTTTCACTGAAGTCCAAACACTTCTCTGTATACAGAAGCTCCTCTGTAAGGCTTCTGTCCACAAAGTGAAAAGAGCCCACATACGCTTGCTTCAGTGGTTTCTTTAGATTCAAAGCTTGTAACCGAAACTGAAGAGCTTCTTCGTGTTTAGGAGGTAGCTGGAGATCCTATAGCATCTCACAACCACATTAAGCTCTGGTGCGCAGTTTATGTTTAAAACACACCTGCTCAAAGAAAACTTTTTGTTTGTGTCAGTTATTAAAGCAACCCCTAAATGCACACACAATACCAGTTTTCTGTGAATCCATAACTATTAATGTTAAGTATGAGACATTAAATGGCAGTGTTGATAGATGCTGTGATGAATACAAACTAGTCGGCTGAAATTACCAGAAAAGGCTAACCGGGTGTCTTACATAAAATCTTCGAAGTCCATAGGAACGCTGAAAATAAGGAGAGTACAACAATAAGATAGATGCAATAAAGCCTATATAACTACATCAGTCCTTGTAAATATTATATGCATAATATAAATTATCTATGATACTCCTCCGCAAACATTCTCTATTATAGGCCCGGCATCCCTAGTGGGTGGATACAGGCTGTTCTCAAACATGAGGTCTTCACGAGCTGACTGTGTGATTGACACAGTGCACATGCGCAGCTAGGAGTAACGTGCAGCTGTATATGAATTAAATATAAACTACAATATTACAAGCCATAAAAACACACTACATCTACACTGATCAGCCATAACATTAAAACCACTGACAGGTGAAGTGAATAACATTGATTATCTTCTTACAATGGCACCTGTCATGGGGTGGGATATATTAGGCAGCAAGTGAACAGCATGTTCCTGAAGTTGATGTGTTGGAAGCAGGAAAAATGGGCAGACATAAGGATCTGAGCGACTTTGACAAGGGCCAGATTGTGATGGCTAGACGACTGGGTCAGAGCATCTCCAAAATGGCAAGTCTTGTGGGGTGTTCCTTGTATGCAGTGGTTAGTACCTACCAAATGTGGTCCAAGGATGGACAACCAGTGAACTGTTGACAGGGTCATGGGTACCCAAGGCTCACTGATGCGTGTGGGGAACTTAGGCTAGCCTGTCTGGTCCAATTACACAGAAGAGCTCCTGTAGCATAAATTGCTAAAAAAGTTATTTCTGGCTATGACAGAAGGGTGTTAGAACACACAATGCGTTGCAGCTTGCTGCGTATGGGGCTGCAGAGTGCCCGTGCCGATCCCTGTCACCAAGATGCGCTATGGAAAGAAGGCAAGCCGGCAGAGACAGTGTGATGCTCTGGACAATGTTCTGCTGCGAAACCTTGGGTCCTGGCATTCATGTGGATGTTACTTTGACACATACCACCTACCTAAACATTGTTGCAGACCAAGTACACCCCTTCATAGCAACGGAATTCACTAATGGCAGTGGCCTCTTTCAGCAGGATAATGCACCATGCCACACTGCAAAAATCGTTCAGGAATGGTTTGAGGAACATGACAAAGAGTTCAAGGTGTGACTTGGCCTCCGAATTCTCCAGATCTCAATCCAATTGATCATCTGTGGGATGTGCTGGACAAACAAGTCCGATCCATGGAGGCCCCACCTCGCAACTTACAGGACTTAAAGGATGTGCTGCTAACATCTTGGTGCCAGATACCACAGCACACCTGGATGCCTTGATGGGCCAGAGCCTTGTGTTTTGGCAGCACAAGGGGGACCCATGCAAGATTAGGCAGGTGGTTTTAATGTTATGGCTGATCAGTGTAATTTCATTCCAGTTCAACTGAAACAAAACAGGTTTCAGCTCTTACAGTTTTTTTGTGTCTGTTGAAGGGATCACAACATTTTCTCTGGTAGTCTTCAAATTGGTCAAGTAAACCATTCTATGATGAGTGTGAATATAATCTTTGGCACCAAGTCCCTATAATCCAATTCTTCTTTTGATGAGCTTTACATAGTTTACTGTAAAAGTGTTAAATTTAATTGTGACTTAAATTGTGGAACTCTGCTTCAGAATTTAAGAGTATACCAATAGAGCAAGGCAAAAAGAATGAGAACTATTTTATGATAGCTATTGCACTAGACAAGATGATAACTTGAGACAGTTGGGCCAGTGATGTTTTCACAGGTTTTTATAGATAAGGCACATAAGACTCTTGAAAAATTTTTGCTTTTTATTTCAACGATATTGACTTGTGTTACTAAAAACTATTGTGATATTGTAATATTGTGACCCCACGCATAGTACAAAATACAAAAAAACAAGTCTCTGTCTACAATACTGATCTTTCTATGACCATCTGAATAGTGTTTGCATTTTTGGCTATTTTGAAGCACACATTAAAAAAAACAAAACAAAGTCAGATAGTTTTTCATTGAGCTGGGCTACCTAAGAAGTATGCATACTCTTGCCAGCTTTGTACAGCTTTGTAAGATCGTTAAAATTGAAGCCACCAAAAAAATGAATAAAGCTTAATTTGTTAAAAAAATATATATATTTTTTTATGCATCACATTTTAAAAAATGATGGTGAGATCATTACAATATTTGAGATTTCTTTGTCCTTCGTACTAAACTATATGTACTAAACATTTTAGCAAATTCTGAAATCATGGTGTAACCACATCTGGTTGAGCTGACACAGAATGACCCTGGTTTATACTATTGTAGCTTCCAATTCTAACAGATATTAAAGATATTAATTTAAATTAATATGTTAACTTTGAAAGCAAAAAACA